GCTGATTCGGGGGCTCTGGCTCACTTAGGCCGGTGGGAGGGAGGGGCACGGAGTGCAGGGCGAGCCTGCGGTAGCAGAGGCCAGCGTGACATTTGTTGCACCAGCCTGAGGCCTGCCGTGCGTTCTCTCGGGGAAGTTGTCCCTGGATCCCGGGAACCTGGCAGTGGCAGGCTGCACAGGCTCCCCGGAAGAGGGGTGTGGAGAGTGACCTGTGCTCGCACACAGGCCTCTTGGTGGCGGCGGCAGCAGCCTTAGCGTCTCCCGCCCGTCTCTGGGGTCCGCGGTTTTAGCTGCGGCTTGCGCCCGTCTCTGGGGTCCGCGCTTTTAGCCACGGCTCGTGCCCGTCTCTGGAGTTCCTTTAAGTAGTGCTCTTACTCCCCTCTCCTCGCGCACCAGGAAACAGAGGGAAGAAAAAGTCTCCTGCCTTTTCGGCAGCTCCAGACCTTTTCCTGGACTCCCTCCCGGCCAGCCGTGGCGCACTAACCCTCTGCAGGCTGTGTTCACGCCGCCAACCCCAGTCCTCTCCCTATGCGCCGACCGAAGCCCGAGCCTCGGCTCCCAGCCCTGCCCGGCCCGGCGGGTGAGCAGACAAGCCTCTCGGGCTGGTGAGTGCTGGTCCACACCAATCCTCTGTGCGGGAATCTCCCCGCTTTGCCCCCCGCGCCCCTGTTGCTGTGCTCTCCTTCGCGGCCCGAAGCTCCCTCCTCCACCACCCGCAGTCTCCGCCCGCGAAGGGGCTTCCTAGTGTGTGGGAACCTTTCCTCCTTCACAGCTCCCTCCCACTGGTGCAGGTCCCGTCCCTATTCTTTTGTCTCTGTTTTTTCTTGTTTTTTCTTTCTTTTGCCCTACCCAGGTACGTGGGGAGTTTCTTGCCTTTTGGGAGGTCTGAGGTCCTCTGCCAGCGTTCAGTAGGTGTTCTGTAGGAGTTGCTCCACGTGTAGATGTATTTCTGGTGTATTGTATAGCACAGAGAGGACTCTGCTCAGTACTCTGTAATAACCTCCAAACTCGGAACTCCACACTGCAGAGGCCCTCCTTTCAACGTGCTGCCTCTCCCCTTCTCCGCAGGTCACAAACAGAGGCCCAGGTCACAAGCAGAGGCCTACTGTCATTTATTTCAAAATATTTTCATTGTTATGTCTTCTCTGACCTGTAGGTTATTTAGCAGTGCATTTATTATTTTACAGGCATACGGAAACTTTATAGTCGTTATTTAATCCTAGCTTATACTGTGGTCAGAATTTGTATTTTCTGCAGTTGTTAAGGATGAGATGCTGTATTTGTTGGGTTGTTTATTGTGTTGTTCAAATATTCTATATTTTTATTAATTTTTAATTCATGTGTTGTCAGTTATTGAAAATGGTATATTAATTTCCCACTACAATTGTGTGTCTGTTTCTCCTTGTAGTTCTTTATATATTTTCTTCATATATTTTGAGGCTCTGTTAATAGATGCATGACAGTTTAGAATTATTAAATCTTCTGGTGATGAAACCATTTATCATTATGAATTGTATTTAATTCTGTACTTCTAGAATAGTGTCCCTTTTGCTGTCAGTCTTCCTGTGGTCACATATTTATACGTGTCCCTGTAAGCAGCATGTAGTTGCTTTTGTTTTGTTTTGAAGCCTGTGTGGAAAACTTTGTCTTTTAATTAGGGCTTAGTTGATTACTTACATGTTTGTGTCTATGGTTACAGTGGTACTGTTTGCTTTCTGTCTGTTCTAAGTTCTGTTTTCTCTGCTTTTACGTGCTTTTGGCCTGAATTCCAATTATTCTGTTCCCAGCTGCCACCCATTATTAGACATTATAGTTTCTTACCTACTGTTCTGTTAGTGGTTACCTTAGAAAGTACAGCCTTCATACTTGACCTATCAAAGTGTAATACAGATTGGTATTTTCTCCAAACAATGCAAGGATATCAGAATGTTCATATTCCAGTTATCCCCCTTCAAGTTATATTGCTGAAATGTACACGTGTTTGGGGGTGGTGGTGTGGTGTGTGTTTTTGTACTTTTGGGCCATGCCGCACGGCTTGCAGGATCTTAGTTCCCTACCCAGGGATCCATCCCGGGCCCCCTGCAGTGGAAGCTTGGAGTCCTAACCATTGGACTGCCAGGGAAGTCCTACGTGTGTATTTTTTTTAACCCTACAAGACTTTTTTATGTAACCATTATTCATTTACGTTTACCCACATATTTCCCCTTTTATGTTACTTTTTATCCTTTCTGCATCTGCAAGCTTCCATCTAGGATTTATTTTCATTTTGACTAAAGAACACATTTTAGTATTTCTTTTGGTTGGACCTTCAGGTGATTATTCCTCTCTTTCTGAAAATGTCTTTGTTTCACGCTTTGTGTGTGTGTGTGTGTGTGTGTGTGCGTGCGTGCGTGCAGAAGGATTCACATTTATTGGTTCAACTACAGTACCTAACGTTTGCTATACATGTATTTCACACTAATTGGTCACATTTCCACAGGTTGTCAGTTCACAGAAAAGGGCCCATCCCTTGCCAGATGGCAGGGTAGGAGGTACAGAGGGCCTGGGTAGCAGAGCCCGCCAGCTATCACTTGGTCATGCAGGATTGATGGAGCCAGGTTGGCGGGCAGCCCTTGGCCGGCCCTTTGGGGACAGGGGCTCAGAGATATCCTGTTTACTCAACTCCTATACAGGACTGTGGGTAGAGGTGGGCCCCAGGTAGGTAGCCCAGGGGTAGGCTCATGGATGCATGCGCCACCACAGCTCCTGAAGGTGGGGTCATGGGAGGTGGTGTTCTCTGTGCCTTGGATCATCGGAAGGAAATGGAGGCCTCTTCAAGGGGTTGTAGCCCCTGGCTGGACAGGTGGGAAGGACTCCCCAGACATGATACAGACATTACAGCGCAGACGCAAGCCCCTACCGCAGGCTGGGATGGCAACACAGACAGAAACACCAACACCCCAGGGCAGGTGGCGTTTCTTTCCCAACAGAAACGTGGAGACAGAGCAGAAGCAACAGTATTCTTTTCCCACAAGATTCCTCAGAGAGGAACAGACCAGGACGTCACTCAAGAGGTAGTTTTTTTTTTTTCCTTTTCATGGAAATTTGAGTCAGCGACATTATCACCTATTGTAAGATATTTCAGAGAAAGAAAACAGTGGTCACCAAAGGGCAAAAATGACCCCTGGCTGGCAGGGCTGGCTCCAGGATTTGGAAGGCCAGCCTCCACCAGTAAGACAGCTTTTTTCTTGGGCTTGAAGCAAGCTCTGGCCTGATTCACAGGCTGCCACTGATTCCTGAGCAGGCTGTGGCTCAGGGGGGACTGGATTAGGCAGAGGGACCAGGCACCTTGTGAGCTGGTAGAGCCGGGGTCGCTGTGGCTCATGTTGCAGGACAGCCAGAAGTCTTCACGTCTCAAGGGAGCCCAGCTGTGGCCAAAGAGGAAGCCCCAGCGTGTTCTCTGGGGCCCCTGCCTCTGAGGTAACAGTCCAGGTCTGGCTCCCAAGACCAGAAAAGAAGCCGTTGCTTGTGGTAGCCAGGAGAGGGGTTTCTGGGGACCCTGTAATTAAATACACATCCCTGAGTTGTGGCCCCAGAAACCCTTGCCTCAAGGCTAATCAGTTTCCAGCACCTGGTGGAATGATTGCCGTCTCTTATACTGAGACACAGATAAAACATCATTTCACAGACACTGGACATAGATGCTTCAAGCTGAGGGAAAAGGGAGGAACGATCAACTGCAAAGGCAGAGAGGGGAGGGCAGGGGGACTCTCATGGATCAAGTTGGGGAAAGAGTGGTGGGTTTGTTTACTTTTTTGTTTGATTCACCATTATTTTGAAGACTAATTTTACTTGATGTTCAGTTCTAGACTGGCAGGTATATTCTTTCAGGACTTTGAAGGTATCATTCAAGAACCTTCTGGCTTCCACTGTTTCTGGTGAGAAGCCAACAACTAATTTTTTTTCTTTTGAAGGTAGTAATCTCTCATTGGCTGCTGACTTTTTTTTCTGTCTTTGTCAGAAATGTCTTTCAGATGCATAAATTTGGTTTATTTATTGATAGCATCTAATTATCTGCCAAATTCTCAGTCTTGTCTTTTATGCTTGAACATATTGAACAGTTAAAGTCTCTGCCTGATAACTCTGTTATCTGAAACCCCTGCACATCTGTTTCTGTTGTAGATTGTTTCTCTTATTTTTTTCTTTCATGTGATTTATCTTCCTGATTGCCTGGTTATTTGTTAGTTTGCTTGTTTATTTTTGTTTAATGCTGGACATTGTATATGAAAAATTACGGAGGTACGTTCATCCTGGGGCGGTGTTTTCTCCTGCAGAGACTGGCTTCTCTTCTGGGAGGCCGCTCAGAACACTAGACGCCACGCCCCCGGTGCGGTTCGGCCAGTGAGGTCATTGGAAGCCACCTCAGGCTCTGGGGAGCCCATCCACGTCAGTTCTCAGGAACACAGGGGTTCTCGACTGTGGCAGGACTGACCTTTAGGGCCAGAGAGCTCTCCGTTGCGGGTGCTGCCCTGTGCGTTGCAGGGTGTTCAGCATATCTGGCCTCTACCCTTCAGATGCCAGTGGCACCCCTCCTCCACAGCTGTGACAGCTAAAAATGTCTCGGGGAACCACTGGTCTAACACATGTTTGAGTCCAATTCAAAGTGAGACGTTTGTCTGCTCTCTCCTTGGCAGGCCCTGGAGCCCAGTTTTTAATCCCCGTGGCTCTATGAGACTGTCGAAGGAATTAAATAATTCAGGTGGATTTCTGTCAACAGTAGTTATAATCAATTTTTAAAAGTACTTGTGATACTTAGAAAAGTAGCCTTCATTTGCCTGGGACTGCGATCTAGAAAATTAAGTTATGGGGCCCAGCTCATTCCCTCATAAATCAGACAAAATGTTTCATAATAGTTAATCTAGTTTCTATTAGTAATGTTCTAAAGCTGCTCTGAGTTTTTTAAAACAAGAACGTAGATAATTGACTACAGAATTGATACGATAATTGTTTTCCTTTTCTAGGTCACCTACAATGGCTGGAGGATTGTTTGCCATGAACAGAAACTATTTCAGTGAACTTGGACAGTATGACAGTGGCATGGATATCTGGGGAGGAGAAAATTTAGAAATATCATTTCGGGTAAATTTTTTTTTGCATGCTTGATTATTAACTGTGTGCAAGGAATATAATTTTCATTCATGATCCCATATTTTCTGTAAATTCTCTTTGCCTGTCTTTATTAACAAATTGTCCTTAATGAATACTACTTTACCACAATCTATAATGTGGATAATACCCATTCAAAATATCAAAAGCCTATAAGAAGCCTTGCATTTATTTTGTAAGAATTTAAAAGTGATAGTTGTAATGAATAGTTGGGTATGTATTAAGAAGTCTTCATGTGCATTTAATCTAGAGTTTTGTTCTTTCTTTGTCCATTTGTTAATCTTATTTGATAACCCTAGATATATATAGTTGGGGTCATCAGATTTTCCTGACTGCGGGAGACCATCCTGGTTCATACCTGATCTCCTGGAGAGATTATTAATAGCTCCTCATTTCACTTTCAGGAGTAGCCCAGCTGATAAGATAAATGATATCAACACCTGCGTATAGGTTACTGAACCCTTTATATATACCGTTCCCTCCAGGGGCTAAGGTTGGGCAGATGACAGCTGTGGGTGGGGTCTGTGGCTCAGCTGTGGTGGTAAGACGGTCTTTGGAAAAGGCAGAAAGAGGGCAAGGGAACAATTCAGATTTCCCTCTCTCAGCAGAGGGCCCCACTCCCCGCCTCCCATCTCCCGGTCTGCCTAACAGATCCCCGCCCCGTTCAGATACCCTAATACCTTGTGCATATGCCATTTCGTATTTTTGCAAATGTATTTTCCTACTTAATCTTTAGAATTTGAAAGTTGCAAGGTATAATAGATATTATCAGTTCAATCTTTGTAGATAAGGTAATTGAGTCTCATAAAAATTGAAATAACGATATAAAGTAGCTCAGTCAAGGGCAAAATTTAGACCAGAACTAAGATCTGAATCTTAATCTAGAGTTATTCTGTATATTTTATTAAAAAATTTTTTTTTCTAAAAAATGGTGTATGTTTGTATGTGTTTCATGAGAAAGTACCTGTAGAACTGAGATTAGAGGATTGATGAGTAAGCATTCTTTGTCCCTAAGTCCTGAAGGTCAACTTCCTTGATGTGTTAAAACGACACGTATGGTAAGTACAATTTTAGACACAGGGTAGTAAAAGAATATTGCAATGTTTTAGAGTTTTGTTTCTTTTTAATCGTAAAGACAGATAATTTTTTTAAAATACACACTTTGACTTTATTCTATTTGAATAGTTACATCTAATAAGATAAAACCTCTTGCAAGGTTTCACAAACACCTGTTTTATGAAAATTCGTGCATCGATTTCACAGCACTGTGAGGAACCATTAACACATATTCTGCTTCTGACCAGATTTGGATGTGTGGAGGTAAGCTCTTCATCATCCCTTGCTCTAGAGTTGGACACGTTTTCCGGAAAAGGAGACCATATGGCTCTCCAGAGGGCCAGGACACCATGACACACAACTCCCTGCGGCTGGCACATGTCTGGTTGGATGAGTATAAGGTGAGATTAAATCTCTCACCGAGAAGGATGGATGATAAGGCTAGTAACTCCGTTGGCTTTGGTTGCTTTTCTCTCTTCTCTTCACCCAGTCTTTCACTCATTTTTGTTGTGACTGCTTTTTAAATTTCCCAAGCATCTAGTCTGTGAGAGGTAATATAGTCGCCAGCACCAGAAGAAACTGTGCTTCTCCTCAGTTTCTTTGTCCTCCTGTCCCCTCCTGTGACTCCCACAGAGCCTGGCTCCTCTGCTCACTCGGCTTTGCTCTGACCCAGTCCCCCTGCTTCCCCTGTCAAGACCCTGTGCACATTGTATTCCTTCCCACCTCCTCTTCTGCCATATGCAGCTCTCAGTATTTTCTTTGTAATGGCTTTTTTGAGGTGTGATTCATTTAAACAAAAAAATCTATTATTTTTCATTTTTCTTTTTTAAATTCAGGAGCAGTATTTTTCCTTAAGACCTGATCTGAGAACCAGAAGCTATGGAAATATCAGTGAGCGCGTTGAGTTGAGGAAGAAGTTGAATTGTAAATCATTTAAATGGTATTTGGATAATATTTACCCAGAGATGCAGATATCTGGGTCCAATGCCAAACCCCAGCAACCCATTTTTATCAATAGAGGGCCAAAACGCCCCAAAGTCCTCCAACGTGGAAGGGTAAGAAAGTGATCCTAGCAAAATGTTTCATTAAATGTTGTGTGATATAATAAATGACATTGTAGACGTAAAATATTTAAGGATAGCCCCTGGCTTGCCTTCCATTATATTCCTTTTAGGAGAATTTCCTCTACTCAGGTGTAAGACCTTAGAAATTTTGGTATCTTTGCTGTCTATATTAAGATCCTTTACCTGCCAGTGTTAAAGAGAACATGGCTTCTCTAAGTTACGTGCTGGCTTCCAAGAGGATAGCTATAAATGTGAATATACAAATAAAGGCAATGTGAGTGAGTGTAAAATTCACTTGTTAGAGACCAGTCCAAAAAGGAAAACAAAGGAGAAATGGGGCAGCTGTATCCTGCTGGCCTCAGCTCTGGAACTGAGTGCAGACAGGAAGTGAAAAAGGGTGGTCAGGGTCTAAGTGGTGGTACCAAGTCAGGTTTTACATCCGACGTCCTGAGCAGTCATCCGAGCTTAGCAGAAACCCATTGATCAACCGCAATTCTTTAGATATTCCCTTTTTGGTTCTTATAAAATTTCTTCAGTTTTATAATATCACTTCAATTTTAGATGTCTAGCCATAAAATCATACCTTTTTCTTGAATCATTTCTTAGAATTTGCTTCCTGAAAGTGTAGATATTGTAATTGTTGCCCGAATTTCCCTTTTGTTATAAAGAAGGCATCCCTCTCCTGGTTCTTTCACAATGCCAGCAATTCTTAAGTGGCTAGAATTAAGCCTAGAGCCTTCTCCTATCTTCTTGTTCTATCTTATAAAAGTCATCAAGGTGTTTCTTATTATTAGGTGTTTTCTCTTTAAGTAAAAATAGGAACCAGTGTATGTCCATACAGTTGAAATCCCTTACCATTATTATTTTTGCCTTGCATATCTAATCACATTTAATATTTAAACTAATCGTTTTACTTAGACTAGATACTCTTTGCTTCTTTTATGTATCTCACCTTTGGCATTCCTATGGCATTTTTAATGTTTGTCTCCAGTTAGGTATGTATATTTAATTACGTACTGTCTGTTTGTGCCTTTTGTTCTTATTTCCTGAGTTTCATTTTAAGGTATTTTAGTGGAGCGATGGTATTTAATTTCCTTCCTCCCCTATACTAGATTAGTAAACTTGTATCTTCAGGTAGAATTTCTACTTGACACTGCCTGCTTATATTGTTAAAATTGCCTATAACCTTGCCGTCTCTATTGTGATACTCCTATGTGCTAAAGCCAGAATTCAGTCATACAAAATGCTTATCTTTTTATGACCTTTAGAATCCATACCTCTGGAATAATATTTTCCTAGTTCCTCTAAAACCTCCTTTTCTAGCATTCTAAGGCATCTTCTGACATTGGTCTTTCTATACCTACCAGCTTGTCAAGAGCAATCTCTTCTTTTACAGCTCTATCACCTCCAGACCCACAAGTGTCTGGCAGCCCAGGGCCGCCCAAGTCAGAAAGGAGGCCTAGTAGTGCTTAAGGCATGTGACTACAGTGACCCAAATCAGGTGAGTCAGGCCTCTGGGCTCTCAGCCAGTCCATGGACAGTGTCCTTCAGTGAAGGAAAGGGAAGCTGCTGGCAGTCAGCCTTGAGGAGGGAGGGGCAGACATCAAGATTTTAAGCTGACTTTTTAAAAATTATATTGTTTTGGGGTTTTTTGTTTGCTTTTTAAAATTTATTTTAATGAGGCATAGTTGATTTACAATGTTGTGTTAATTTCTGCTGTACAGCAAAGTGATTCAGTTATACATATACTTTTCCATTATGGTTTATCACAGGGTATTGAATATAGTTCCCTGTGCTATACAGTAGGACCTTGCTGTTTATCCATTCTCTATATAATAGTTTGCATCTGCTAATCCCAAACTCCCAATCTATCCCTCTCCCAACTCCCCTCCCCCTTGGCAGCCGCAAGTCTGTTCTGTGTCTGTTTTGTAGGTACGTTCATTTGTATCATTTTTTTTTAGATACCACAAATAAGTGATACCATATGATATTTGTCTTTCCCTTTCTGACTTCACTTAGTATGATAATCTCTAGGTCCATCCATGTTGCTACAAATGGCATTATTTCATTCTTTTTTATGACTGAGTAGTATCCCATTACGTATATGTGCCACATCTTCTTTATCCATTCATTTGTTGATGGACATTTAGGTTGTTTCCATGTCTTGGCTATTGTGAATAGTGCTACTATGAACACTGGGGTGCAACGTATCTTTTCAAATTATGGTTTTCTCCAGATATATGCCCAGGAGTAGGATTGCTGGATCATATGGCAGCTCTATTTTAGTTTTTTGAGGAACCTCCCTACTGTTTTCCATAGTGGTTGCACCAGTTTACATTCCCACCAGCAATGTAGGAGGGTTCCCCTTTTCTCCACACCCTCTCCAGCATTTGTTATTTGTAGACTTTTTAATGATGGCAGTTCTGACCACTGTGAGGTGGTACCTCATTGTAGTTTTGATGTGCATTTCTCTTATAAGTAGCAACGTTGAGCATCTTTTCATGTGCTTGTTGGCCATCTGTATGTCTTCTTTGGAGAAATGTCTGTTTAGGCCTTGTGCCCATTTTTCGATTGGGTTGTTTCTTTTTGTTGTTGTTGAGTTGTATAAGCTGTTTGTATATTTTGGAAATTAAGCCCTTGTCAGTCACATCATTTGCAAATATTTTCTCCCAGTCTGTAGGCTGTCTTTTCGTTGCTTACAGTTTCCTTTGCTATACAGAAAGCTTGTAAGTTTGATTAGGTCCCATTGTTTATTTTTGCTTTTTTTTTTTTTTTACCTTGGGAGACTGACCTAAGAAAACATTGGTACAATTAATGTCAGAGAATGTTTTGCCTTTGCCTGTGTTCTCTTTTAGGAGTTTTATGGTATCGTGTCTTGTATTTAAGTCTTGTGTATGGTGTGAAGGTGTGTTCTAACTTCACTGATTTACGTGCGGCTGTCCAGCTTTCCCAGCACCACTTGCTGAAGTTAAGTTGTTTACGCTGGGAATGATTTTAGAGATTTTAGAGATCATCTATCTAATACTGTTGTGGTCTCCTTTGTACATTTTCCCTACCTCTGGTCATTGTTTGTCATAGTAATATTTTGTTTGTTTAGAGCATTATTTGTACTTTGCAGTTACACAGAATGAATTTGAGTTATATAGAATTAATTGAAAGCTATATGAATTTGTTAGAAATGGCAAAGGACATGCATCTTCTTTCTGGCCCAGAACATTAAATCTGCATTGGATGAATCAGAATATCTTTTGTAGAGTTTTCTGTGAAATTGAGTTTTCCTAACTGATTTTTAGTAGTTCATCAGAGGAAACAGCACAATTTCAATTCACGTCATTCAAATAATTTATTCTCAACTTATGTGTCCTTTCAGCGATATTAAGTGAACCTAAAAATAAGCAGAAAACTTATTGCAAACTGCTTTGTATCTGATAAAATAGCATAACCTAACATTGGTCTAATCTCCTAGTTGTAGTGCCTCAAGACTGTAATGCTCAAAACATGTCGTAAGTAAGCAAGCTTCATTTACTTACGTTTCCATCTGAGTGGTGGACGGGGTCATTCAAGAATGAAAAGAACACTTGGGCCCTTTTTGGATAGAGTGTATCCTTTGAAATTTCATAGATCACATCTTATTTCTAGGAGAGTTCATGCACGCTATCTAAGGTGTTAACATACTGGAAAACATGGTTTAAAGAGGGTTTTGTGCCACGTCTGGGTGCGAGAGGTGTCAGTGTTGTAGACATGGAAGTGTTAAATTGTAGTGAGGTTTTGGTGGTTTAGGTTGTGGTAGGATGAGATTGGTGAAATTTGTTCCAGAAACTGCAAGAGGTTTGAGGAGATGGAGTTACACTCTCCTGTCCGTACTATGTTGTGACTGCACAGAATTGCACTTACACCCTAGCACATGTGGCTGTTGGATTGGTAATTTTATTTCATTTCCTCAGTCACACGTGACACACTCCCAGCGCTCGGAGCCACGTGTGGAGATTATAAAGCATCAGCGTCTGTGTTTGCTGGGGCTGTCATGGCGCCGATGATGGGGAGCCTTCTCTTCGTACCAAGAGGCAGCACACATACGTCTTGGGCCTGTAGGTAGAAGCAGTAATGAATAAAATAATTCAGAGGATAGGAGAAAATGTTTTCCTTTTCAATTTAGTGATGGTGCATGTTGGAGAATAAAGTTATTCATTGCACTTGGCCATTTCAGCCAGTTTCAGGCCTTTGTTCTTGAAAATAATCTGAGACACCATAAAGACAACTATCCTCAAAGATCATTTGCACGTCTAAGGAGAATCCTGCTTTGGGGCCATCAATGAAATTGTAATCTCAGTGCAAATGTTATTATGAGCCGGGAATAGAGTATACTGTTCCACAGGATGATGGGATATGACAGCTTACGCACAGTCATCACTGCCCAACAGATGAGGGAAATATGAAAATCATAGCCTCATGTGTTCTCCTTGTACAGAAGGCAAACCAGCCGCCTCACTGGGCTCCTTCAGTTCTACACAGTGTGAGAATTAAAAGCATTGTGTAATTGCGAAATCCTGGAATTGGGGAAGATCTACAATCTTGTGCTCAAATACAGTCAATTAAGTTAACTCAACCACTGCTCACATTTCTTCCTGGAATTGCACCTCACTTTCTCTAAGCTGGTCTGTTCCTGCTGCAAGAGACCATACAAAATAAATCCCTTCTTCCACAAATGTGTGAAGTGTCGTGCCGTCTGCTTTTCAGAATCTGAAGCAAAACTTGAGGTTTTGATCTTTCATTTTCTTCCTTAGATTTGGATTTATAATGAAGAGCACGAATTGGTTTTAAACAATCTCCTTTGCCTGGATATGTCAGAGACTCGCTCATCAGACCCCCCACGACTCATGAAATGCCACGGGTCAGGAGGATCCCAGCAGTGGACCTTTGGGGTGAGGAGACAGACAAGGCTGAGGGAGGGAGCTCGGCAGAGGGGCTCATGTCCTGCTTACCTTGTAGAAGGTTGTTCTGAGTTTGTAGCATCCCGCAAATAAGTAAGTAATGTGAAATGTTCCACGTCTCTTCTAGATTACTGTCTCTACCATATTCTGGCAATAAGTTTTTTAACTTAAAGCAAGTAACTGGTGGTATTTTTTTCTTGCCACCACTTTATTTTCAGAGGAATAATCGGCTGTACCAGGTGTCAGTTGGACAGTGCCTGAGAGCGGTCGATCCACTGAGTCGCAGAGGCTTTGTCGCCATGGCCATCTGTGATGGCTCCTCGTCACAGCAGTGGCATTTGGAAGGTTAGGGTGGATGCTGTGGCTGCAACGGTGATTTGTCATGCTCGTCCTCAACACAGAGACGCCTGGGACCCTAGCAGAGGTGAGACAGCAGCCACAGTAGAGGTCACGGCCCCGAGTGACCATCGGGAGGTGAAGAAGTATGGTTCACCAAGAGGTTCAGGTCATTTCTCAGCTGCTGTTAAGGAATTTCTTACTTATGGTAGGAAACCAGAATGCAGTATTAACTCTCTAAAGAGTCAGGTTTGTATAGAAGGATAAAGCCCAGGAAATTGACATGTCTATTCAAATTTATTTATGCTTCCTTTTAATCCCTTAAATAATGGAGTGGCGTTTATCTGATCAGGAACTTGTCATGATTTCCTTTCTTAGAAGATTTTGTAGATGACAGTTAATTTTTTTTAAATTTCTAATACCATGTTCTAAATAGTTTTAAATAAACTGATTGAATCCACATTACGTTTAACTTCAGAAGGCATCATTTATAAGATTATATTTAAGAGAGTTAACTATTATAAATTATTTTGATGAATTATGGTACTATATACATTTACAATAAAGGATCCTTTTAATTATCTAGGATTTCTTGTCTTCTCTTTCGTTTTGTATTGGGGTCTCTGGTCTGAGTTATCCTACGTACGTGATACATGGTAAGAAATGCACAGGGATTCGGCTGATGAACCAGTAACAGGTAGGTAGCAGCCCGAACCTTAGGGATGTTTCAGTTTCTTAGCTTGAACTGTGTGAGTCTGAAGCTGGACGTATGTGAATTTGAATACTTTAAAGTTACCTGTGAAACACCCAGGTAGAGTTGTTAAATAGGTGTTAAAGTTATTTGGACATAGAGGTCAGGATTTCAGAAGATATATTTCAGTTAGAGATATAAATTTAGGAATCATCTGTATATACTGTAAATGTCCTAATATAAAGTGAGTTTTTTCCCACCAAAATTACATCTCAGAGGAGACGTAGTCTCATAGGGTATTTTTTCAGTTATTTTATCTGGACACACAAAGCAGTTTAAGTACCAATTTGAAACATGCTGGAGAATAATATATTGTTCGCATTTATACTAAACATTTTGTCTGTCATTTAACTTTAAAGACCAGATGGTGGTACATATAGGATACAAAAAGCAAGATGATTAAATACAACAAAATCACATTAAATGTAATTTGATTAAATGTAAATGGGTCCAGTTGACCCTGGCTTGTGTCCGCACGGCCTCACCAAGTGTTGTCAGACGACCTGCGTGAGGGCCCTCAACTCTTGGAAACGAAGTCCAGCCCCCGTGGCACCTTGGAAGCTCCTAAGTTAGGTGGAGATTGGCCAGGATGGTGAAGTAGAAAGACCCTGAACTCACCTGCTCTAATGGGCACACCAAAATTACAACTATTTGCAGAACAACCATTGATGATAAAGACCAGAACCTACCAACCAGAAAAGAGCTACTACAACCAAACAACGAGACAGGTAGGAGGGATGGAGTCGCCATTGCAGTCAAGTCCCATACCCCGGGTGCGTGACCCACAAACGGGAGAATGACTAACTACAATTGTAAAGGTCCTACGAAAGGAGTGTGAAGGGTCCAAACCCCACGTTGAGCTCCCCAGCCCGGGGGTCTCACACTGGGAAGACAAGCTCCAAGAGAGTAGTTGGCTTAAAGGCCAGGGGGCTTGCTTTCAGGAGTCACAGAGGGCTGAGGGAGGTACAGCCTTCACCCTTAAAGGATGCATGCAAAAATCTCACATGCTCCGGGAACCCAGGGCAGAAGCATAATTTGGAAAGAGCCTGGGTCAGACCTACCTGCTGATCTTGCAGAGTCTCTGGGAGAGGCAGGAGGCAACTGGAGCTCCCCCTGGGGACACAGATGCTGGTGGCAGCCATTTCTGGCAGCTAGTTCTATCGTGGGGACAGTGGTGCTGGTAAGCACCATTTTGGAATCCTCCCTCTAGCCTATTAGCCTCAGGACAGCCTGTAGGCACTAGTGCTGGCACACTTCAGGCCAGGCAGCTAAGTCTGGGCACAGGCACAGCCCCACTCACCAACAGACAGGCTGCCTTAAGACCCCCTGAGCTGGCTGCCCCTGGACATGGCCCTGCCCACCAGAGGGCCCAGGACTTGGCCCCAACACCAGTGTGCAGGCACAAGACCCAGGAACCTCCAGTCAAAGACCCTGGGCCCCCGTGCCTCCTGTCAACAGGCCTGCTCTAGCCTCAGAACCAGCCTCATCCACCAGCCAAAAGAAAACCAAAGCCCTGCAGCCTGCGGCCCCAGTCCACCTACTAGCAGGTTAGATCCTGACCTGGGACTAGCTGGGCCCTGGCCCTGCCCACTAGCAGGCCAACGTAAGTTTCAGGACATCCTGGACCCTGCAGCCAACTGTCAGGAACTGGCCCTACCCATCAGCAATCTGATACCAGCTGTGGGACTCCTGGGCCCTGGAACCAGACTGCAGGACCTTGCTCTGTCCACCCGTAGGCTGGCACTAACCCCAGGGCCTGGCTTCACCCACCTGTGGGCAGGGAGCAGCCCCAGGGAGTCTGCAGCCAGACACCTCGCGACTCAGCCCTTTCAACCAGCAGCCTCTGCACGAGGCAGGGCCAAGCCTACTAGACTGCCCACAGTAGTCAGCCCGCCACAACAGAAGGACCCATACAGCCCTCACAGGGGGAAACCCCAGGGCATACAGCTCTGGTGAGGAGAGGGGAGTGTGCTGCTCGCATAGGTATCTCCTACAAAAGGCTCCTTCACCAAGATTGGGAGACGTAACCAACCTACAAGATACATACAAATAGGACATTAGGCAAAAGGAGGCGACAGAGGAACATGTTCCCAACAGAGGACCAAGAAGAACTAAGTGACGTGGAGACAGGCGACCTACCCAAAAAGAGCTGAGGGTAGTGGTCGTAAAGATGATGAAGGAGCTTGGAGAAGAATGGGTGCACAGAGCAAGAAGCTAGAAGCTTTTAACAAAGAGGAAATATAAAGAACAACCTAACATGAATTCAATAACTGAAATGCAAAGTACACTAGAAGGAATTAATAGTAGACTAAATGGGGCTTCCCTGGTGGCGCAGTGGTTGAGAGTCCGCCTGCCAATGCAGGGGACACGGGTTCGTGCCCTGGTCCAGGAAGATCCCACATGCCGCAGAGTGGCTGGGCCCGTGAGCCATGGCCACTGAGCCTGTGCGTCCGGAGCCTGTGCTCCGTAATGGGAGAGGCCACAACGGTGAGAGGCCCGTGTACTGCAAAAACAAAAAAAACAGTAGACTAACTGATACAGAGGAACAATGAGCTGGAAGACAGTGGTGGAAATCACTGGTGCTGAACAGAAAAAAAGAATGAAAAGAAATGAGGACAGTTTGAGAGACCTCTTGGGCATCAACAAATGCACTAATATTCACATTATAGGGGTTCCAGAAGGAGAAAAAAGAGAGAGGCGCTGAGAACATATTTGAAGACACAATAGCCAAAAACTTCCCTAACTTGGGAAAGGAAACAGATATCTCAGTCCAGGAAGCACAGAGAACCCCATACAGGATTAACCCAAGGAGGAATACACCAAGACACATTGTAATTGAGATGGCAGAAATTAAAGAGAAAATATTTAAAGCAGCAAGGGAAAAGCAACAAGTTACTTACAAGGGAGCTCCCATAATATCAGCTGAATTTTCAGCAGAAACACTGCAGGCCAGAAGGGAGAGGCATGGTATATTTAAAGTGATAAAAGGGGAAAACCTACAACCAAGAATACTCTACCCAACAAGGCTCTCATTCAGATTTGATGGAGAAATCAGAAAGTTTTACAGAGAAGCAGAAGCTGAAAGAGTTCAAAAACCAGCTTTACAAGAAATGTTAAAGGAACTTTTCTAAGCGGAAAAGGAAAAGCCACAGCTAGAAACATGAAAATTACGAAACGAAACAGCTCATCAGTGAAGGCAAAGATAAAGGTAGGAAATCATCCATGTACAAAGTTAGGGTTAAAAGACAAAGTTGTAAAATCATTTACATCCACAATAAGCAGTTAAGGAATACACGAAATAATTAGGTGCAGAATACGAAGTCAGAAACAGTAATCATGAGGGGAGGGGAGCACAAATGCAGGAGTGTTAACACGCATTTGAAATCGAGAGATCAGTAACTGAAAACATACATACATACATACATACTCATATATACACACATCTCATGGTAGCAACAAACCAAAAATCTATAATAGATACACAAAAAGGGAAAAGGAATCCAAGCATAACACTAAAGATAGCCATCAAATCACAAGAGAGAAAAACAAAAGAAGGAACAAAAAAGACCTACAAAAACAGTATGACAATAAGAACGTACATATTAATGATTACTTTAAATGTAAATGGACTAAATGTTTCAATCAAAAGACACAGAGTGGTTGAATGGATACAAAAACAAGACCTCTACATATGCTGCCTATAAGAGACTAAATTCAGATCTAAGGACACTCACAGACTGAAAGTGAGGGAATGGAAAAACGTATTCCATGCAAACGGAAGTCAAAGACAGAGTAGCACTACTTACATCAGACAAAATAGACTTTAAAACAAAGACTGTTACAAGAGACAAAGAAGGACATTACATAATGATCAAGGGCTCAGTTCAAGAAGATGATTTAACAATTGTAAACATATATGCACCCAACATAGGAGCACCTAAATACATAATAGCAAATATTAACAGATGTAAAGGGGAAAATCAACAGTAACACAACAATAGCAGGGGACTTTTAACACCCCACTTATATCAATATACAGATAATCCAAACAAAATCAATAAGGAAACACTGGCCTTAAATGACAGATCAGATGGACTTAACAGATTTATATAGAACATTCCATCCAGAAGCAGCAGAATACACATTCATTCTTTCAAGTGCACGGGGGAACTTTCTCCGGGATAGATCACATGCTAGGCCACAAACCAAGCCTTGGCAAATTTAAGAATGAAATCATGTCAGGTATCTTTTCCAACCACAACAGTATGAGACTAGAAATCACCTACAAGAAAAGAACCCTGCAAAAACCACAAACACGTGGAGGCTAAATAATAAACTACTAAATAACCACTGGATCTATGGAAAAAACAAAGAGGAAATAAAAAAAAAAATACCCAGAGGCAAATGAAAACCCAATGATCCAAAATCTATGGGATGCAGCAAAAGCAGTTCTAAGAAGGATGTTTACAGCAATAGGCGCTTACCTCAGGAAACAAGAAAAATCTCAAACAACCTAACCTTACACTTAAAGGAACTAGAAAAAGAATAACAAAACTCAACATTAGTAGAAGGAAAGAAAGATCAGAGCAGAAATAAATGAAGTAGAGACTAAAAAAAAAAATAGAAAAGATCAATGAAACTAAGGTTGGTTCTTTGAAAAGATAACAAAACTGATAAACCTTTAGCCAGACTCATCAAGAAAAACACATGGACTTCCCTGGTGGCACAGTGGTTAAGAATCTGCCTGCCAATCCAGGGGACATGGGTTCAAGCCTGGGTCCGGGAAGATCCCACATGCCACGGAGCAACTAAGCCCGTGCGCCACAACTACTGAGCC